GTACAATAGTTTAAGGACCAGAATGAAATTTTAACCTCAAAGAAATTTAATATGCAAAACCAGCTGTATTTCAATATCATTAGAAAAAAAAAAACGTGGGAAAAGCTAACGTTCAATTTATCATTAATAAAATATTTGGCTTTCCACTTCCACCAGAAAAAATAAAAAAAAATAAAAAAAAATCAGTTAGAGCAATTACGAACACTTGACTTCCCAGACTTTTCAACACCTCCACGACGAAATTTCTCCGGAAGGTTCAGCTTGAAAACCAGTTCGCCCCTTTCCACGCCAAGTGTCTTCAGAACACTCGTCCCACTAATGCGAACCAACCCAACTCTACAATTTTTTTTCTATAGTTCTTTCCACCCAAAGCTTGACCTTTCTTTTTTTCAGCACAGGCTTATGCGAGCGTCGTTTTCCTCCCAACTTACAACCCGGTTCAGGGTGCTTGGTCTCTGGTACATTTTCACGTGTGGGGCTTCCGGGTTTCGTTTCACACTGTGATTCTGTGAATTATAAATTCAACTAACGAACCCCTTTGATGGGTACTACTGACCTCTCCCACCCTCTTCTCCAAGTTTCCCATTTCCTTCTCCGGTGATTCATAGCCCTCGTACGTCCAGAGGTAAAGTGAAAGTTTCTTATTTCAATTCAATTGTTCGATTCTGGGGTTTGTCCATTCTTTTTTCCATTTTGTATATTGTTGATGATTTAAGTTTGTAATTTGATGATATATGATTCTAGATCATGCAAAATCAGCCGGGGTTAAGACGTTCTTTTGATATATATATAAATATATATATATATATATATATTATTTTTCTTTTTAGTAAAGAAGTCATTTTTAAATAAAAATACTTCTGCAACTGTATTAAGTGGAAAAATCTCACATCCAAATATAACAGGAAAAACAGTGTGATTTAAATAAGAACAAAGTTATATTGCTAGCTGGTTTTTAGTTGGGTCAATCCTTGCGTTGAAGGTCACATGCCAATTTTCAGATGGTACTTAAAAGCAATTGGTTTTTTTTTTTTGGTATACTTCGATGTGGGATTTTACAGACAGCTTAACAGTTGAATCTCTGGAAGCAGAGATTCTGTGATTTCATATTGCTGATGCAGATGGTTTTTTATTTTAAGGGAAAGAAGGCGAGGAGTAGAAAGCTTCAGTGATTGGTTTCTTGGTGATAGAAAGAATCGGTCTTCTTTAGAATTAGTATATATGCAATGGCAATGGAACTCATACCAATCGGAACAATCTTGGCTGTGGTAACAAACCAGGTCATGAAAACAGCTCAGGCTGCAAAAGATATTGTCATTGAGAAGGATAGTTTTAAGGTCCTGTCTAAATACCTCTTTGATATTGAGCCTGTGTTGAAGGAATTGCAGCTGAAGAAGTTAAATGATTCTCAAGCCGCAAGACATGCTCTTGAAGCTCTGGAAGCAGATGTCAAGAAGGCAAATAACTTGGTTGAGAAGTACAAGAACCGAGCCCGTTTCTATTTACTTGTAAAGTGTCGACACATTGTACATGAAGTTCAAGAAGTTACAAGGGATATTGGAAGGTCTCTGGCTGCGTTATCCATTGCGAATACTGAGCTTCTTTCAGGGATATCCGATGAGGTTAATAGGTTACAGGATGAGATGCAGAGAGTTGAATTTGAGACTTCACACTCTCAACTTCAAATTGTTGACAAATTAAATCAGGGTCTCAGGGATCAGAAACTTGACCAGGGTTTTGCGAATGACATGCTTGAAGAAATAGCAAGGGCAGTTGGGGTGCCGGTTGAACCCTCAGAGATAAGCAAGGAGCTAGCAAGCTTCAGGAAGGAAAAAGAAGAAGCTGCCAACAGAAAGGAAAGAGCTGAAGTTTTCTTCTTAGAGCAGGTTATTGAGCTGCTTTCGCGAGCAGATGCTGCAAGAGATCATGAAGAAATGCAGAAGCAGTATCTTCAAAGGATTCAGGTTATAGAGCGATACGATGCCAGGGAAGAATGCATCCCTCCACTTAATCCTTTCATTTGTCCTATAACTAGGACTGTAATGATTGATCCTGTGAGCCTTTGCACAGGCACTACATGTGAGAGAGCTGCCATTGAAGCTTGGTTTGATGGTGGGAAGCGAACTGATCCAGAAACTGGAGAGATGCTTGAAGATACTTCTTTGAGGTCTAACCTTCCACTTAGGCAATCAATAGAGGAGTGGAGAGAGCTGAATTATTGCCTTAAAATCAGAGTTTGTAAGGCTAAGTTGTTATCAGGTTCTGATTCATCTATGGAGGAGGCCCTAAGCCAAATGCAGGACCTGATGAGAGAAAATTCAATAAATAAGGACTGGATTTCCATAGGAGGTCTAACTGATATTATAATCTCTGTCCTCGGCAATTCACGCAATAGAGAAGTGAAGAGAAAGATTTTAATCACTCTGAAAGATATCGTGGAGGGGCACACAAGAAATAAGGTAAGCTGCTTAGAAATAATAAGTTCAAAAGATATTACCTTTGAGCAAAGTCCATGCTTTCCCTAAACTCCTCGACCCCTCTCCCCAATTTTTCACTTTTAGTAATTCTTTTGTTTCTTCTTCCACTTGCCTCCATGCATACTGCATGCATGTGTTCATGCAAAATCTTATTGACTGAACCAAATTGATTTGTCTTGGGCATAATGACATGCATCTGATAAACCTGGCATATTGAAATTGAGATTTTCATTGATTGTGCCGTTCATGATTGCTGCCAAATAACTGCATGTATGGATACAGATGTACGTACATATTATATATAGGTAAGTTCTTGATAAATAATGAACCACGTATGCCCTTTGAACAAATTTTATAGGAAAAGGTCATTGAGAATCAAGGATGGGATCACATTGTACCCTGCTTGGGACGTGACTCAAGCATATCAAAGGCTACAGTTGAATTGCTATTTGAATTATTGCAAGATAGATCTGGTTGGAATGTATCTGCCTGCAGGAAACTTTCTCACCAATGCAGTGGGATTCTTTTTCTTGTTACCCTTTTGAAGGGTCCAGTAAGGGAATCAGCAGAGTATGCTGAGAAAATCTTAAATAAACTTTTTGATATTGATGAGGAGACCATTCCTCGAGCTGCCAAGTCAGGGTGGTACAAACCACTTATTGATCGCATCACTCAAGGTTGGTAAACCATTCCCTACATACTTTCTTGGTTTCTTTTTTTTTTTAACAGCTCTGTGGTTTTCAAGATTCAATCTTTATACTGTTACAAAGGATGTCTTCCAATCAATTAGGTGACTTGTACTTGTTTCTTCTTCCAATTTTGTACAGTGATTCAAATTTTTGTCCAATAATAGCCAGAGGCACCAGAAAAAGATGGTTTGGATAAGAAAACCTATCTTGGTTATGAGTTATTGTGAGTCAGCAAAAACTACTCATCTTCTAAGAGGCATTTGAAATCCCATCTAAATTGTAGGAGGCTACATTATTTCTGTTATATTATCTTATCTACCCCAGAGTTTTCCCAAGTTGTAGATCATATTTGTCTGTGTCGTGTACCTATAAATTCTCTGATAATCTAGGGAAAAAAAATTCTATGTCTAGATTGTCAAATGAATCTTCATTATATAAAAATATTATTGATGTATTTGTTTAACTGGAAAGCAGTCATGTTGATTGATTCTGCTGAATATTTTCAGGTCCAGAATCTTCAAAGATATCAATGGTGAGAGCATTAGTTAATATGGAATTGGTTGATTCTGATTTAAAGCTCCTTGGGGGGGAAGGCATCATACCTCCTTTGCTTGAAATGGTAGCATCTGGCAATATTGAATCAAAGGAATTGTCTTTATCTATTTTAGTTAAACTATGCGGTTGTCATGCCAATAAAGAGCTTCTTGCTGCTTCTGGTGGAGTTCCTCTTGTTCTGAAACTAATGTTCTCTCCACATGTTCGCACCCTTATTATTGTTAGATGCTCTGAGATCCTTGAGAAACTTTCTTCTGATGATGATGGAATTAAGTTCTTTGTTAATGAGAAAGGGGTTCAACTTGAGTTGGAGCAGCTTATTGTTGATTTGTTGGCTTTGCAACAGAATACCAATTCATCACATAACTTTCGAAGGCCTGCTTTGCGTGCACTTTTAGGAATTTGCAAGTCTGAAGCAGCATTGGTTAAGACAGCAGTTCTCACAGCCAATGGTGTATCTCTAGTCCTTCCTCTTCTTGATGATTCTAACTCAGAAGTACAAGAAATTGCTATAAGTCTTCTCTTCCTATTTTCTCAGCACGAGCCACAAGGAGTTGTTGAGTACCTTCTCAAGCCCAAAAGACTTGAGGCTTTAGTGGGGTTTCTTGAAAATGACAAGGGTGATGCCCAGCTGGCTGCTGCTGGTTTATTGGCTAACCTGCCAAAATCTGAAATATCACTAACCAAGAAGTTAATTGAATTGGAGGGACTTAATGCACTCATAAATATTTTAAGATCAGGAACAACTGGAGCAAAAGAAAATGCTTTAAGTGCACTATTCAGGTTCACAGATCCAGCAGATCCTGAGTCACAGAGGATAGTTGTTGAACAAGAAGCTTACCCCTTGCTTGTAAATTTTCTCAGATCTGGTTCAGTGACAGCAAAAGCAAGAGCAGCAGCTCTGATTGGTAATCTATCAGCGAGCACTCCTAAGCTAGTGGATGTACCTGAACAAACTGGGTGCTGGTGTTTTTGGAGATCGCGTGTTCCTTTATGCTCCGCACATGGTGCTATTTGCAGTGTAAATACTACATTTTGTTTATTGGAGGCAAATGCTTTGCCTCACTTGGTAAAACTTCTACAGGGGGAAGTTGATGCAACTGCTTTTGAAGCAATTCAGACACTTTCCACATTGGTTCAGGAAGGCTGTCCACACAAAGGGGCTAATGTCTTGCATGAGGCTGATGCCATAAAGCTAATCCTGGAGATTTTAACTTGGGGAACAGATTCTTTGAAGGAAGAGGCACTTGGACTCCTAGAAAAGGTTTTTCACTCAAGGGAAATGGTGGAGATATACGGAGCAAAAGCTAGATACATTCTTGTTGGTCTAAGTGGTAGAAATGTTCATGAAGATGGCCATTTTGGAAGGAAGGCTGCAAGAGTCTTATCACTAATTGAACGCTATTCAAGATCATCAACATCTCTTCTTCCAGGAATTTTCACATAGAGGCATAAGTTTTCAGGTTAGAACAGAGTTTACATCAACTTCTTCATAATATTAATGAATTATTGCAATTATAGCAACTCATTGGTTTCAAAAGCATTCTGAAAGTATCCAGTACATATATTTGTGTACAGGGTCTGTATGTATAGACTATAGAAAGAAGCAGTCCACATACCATTCATGTAACTAGGTTCTTGCAGAATTAGTTTGCACATTTATATAAGGTGTCTGTGCTTTTTGACCTCTCTGTTTATGTTGGTACATTTGAGTGAGGGCTATACAGAATGCTATACTGAATGTACCTTCTCCAGTTCCGCATTTTAGGTTGAAGAAAACTGGTTTTGTCAAAAACTTACAACTATGACAGTAATGTTCACTGATAGCAGACGTTATGCACATTCTTTGTGAATCTTTATGTTTGATATCTGCCACATTAAGAAGGATGCATCAATATGTCTATGACTAGTTGCAAGCTTTCATTGTGTGAACAAAATAAAATCTAGGGTTCTAGGGTTCAGTTTTCTCCTGGGTCATTAATAATGAAAATCAACAGGTTTGCTTTGGTTTATGATGCCTTTGCCCAATTATCTGTTGGACCTGGGCTTATCCCAATCACAAAGTTGGCATTAGTCTAGCCAATGAAACTTGAGCTATACCAAACTTACGACTTTCTGAGCTTTGGAGATAAAGCTTGAAACCCTAATCTGCTTGTTACACACTTTCAGGTTAGAAAAAGGAAATCTGCTATAAATCCGCCTTAGGATGATCTTATGGTCAAAAATGAAAACTTATAACAAATCCACACGTCAATACCTAGACTCCAACCTTTATTGACCAAACATTTTCTTTATTGGGGAATAATTCTAGATTTAGGAGACCAAAGAGTAGGGGAAGGGTATTTGGATCTATACTTTCCCCTGACAAAGGAGCAACAAGGGTTAGGGCCATTCAATGTATTGATCATACCAAGAATGATAATACCAAGAAATAAGTGCAACTCACGGCCAAAAAAAAAAAAAAAGAGAATAAAAGAAGAAGAAGAAGAAGAAGAAAGAAATAGTGCAAGTCTTGCTTGTTTTTGAAATCAATTATCATAATATATTATATTAGGTATAAGTTAAGAGTCTAATAAATATATTATTTTGTAATTAATTTATATAAAAAATTATAAAAATTGATATTTATCTTAATATTGTTGATGCTTGAATAATTTTAATTAATTAATTGATTAAATCAAAGTCAACATTTACATTTTTCATACACATTAATTGTGAAAGAGTGCATTAATTATACTTTAACTTGCATGAGTATATTTGGGATATTAAGGACTCGCTTGATATAACGGTTTTTGAATAAGAATTAGTGGTTTTATACAAATTTTTAAGAATAAGTATTTGATAAAGTTTTATATTTTGAAAATGCTACAAAGAAAGTGTTTGGTAAAAATTTTTATTTAACGATTTGGGATTAATAGATAATTGTTAGTGTCCAAATCGTTAAAAATTTGAAAAAACTAATTTAGATAACTTTTTGTATAAAACCATTAATAGATTGAAATTTTTAATCTTATTGATAAATTTATCCATTTTAATTTGTTAATTTTTTGTTATGGTTTTTAATTAGTACTTATCTAATTAGATTCAACTTATTTTTTTTATCTTTAATAACATTAAGTGATTATTATATTTTTATTTTTTGCATTAATTTATCACAGAAAACTAGCTTAATAAAAGAATTTACTAATTAGATGAAATGATTAAATTTTTTTATTTAAAAATAATACAATTTTTTCTTTATTAAAAAAAATGAGTGTGTGATTACATTATTATAATTTATTTTATTTATTTATTTTCTTATTAGTATTTTTATAAAATTAATAATTTTAATAATAAAAAATATAAAAAGAAAAAAATGCACTTGTAATATGTTTGGGTTAAGGGGAATAGAAGAAAAAAAGGAGAATAGAAGAAAAAAAGTTTTTTAACCAATCAAATTATAAAGTTTTGAAAATATTATAATTTGGTCGATCATAAAATTTTTCCTCCTCTTCCCTCCCCTCCATTTCCCTTAACCAAAGCATACGATTAGTTGTTTTTAAACATGTTTTTATTAGTCATTTAATGTTAAATAATAACCACTAACTATGTAAAATCAAACAGGTACTCCCTCTATGCATTTTTAGTAAACTTAATTTGACTTTTCGACTATTTGAATATGAATTTTATATGAAAATTTAACACATTAAATAAATAATAATTAAATTTTTTTTATCAAATAAAAGTATTCAACAAGATCTTCATGTAAAAAGAAAAACCATTTCAATTGTTGTTCATATAAGTTGTTAGATTTTTATTTGAAATTCATATTAAAAAAGTCAAATAGTCAAACTAGGTTTACTAAAAATGAACAGAAAAAGTATATTAATTGAATATGTTATCTACTATCTACCACCTACTATGCATTAATCGCCATCCGTTATCCGTTAATTACTACCCATTATTCGTTATTACTATCTGTACTACTATCTTTTATCTATTATTTATTAAATTTTAATAATTATACCAAATAGATTGAAAAAAAAAGGCCCTTTTTAAAACCCCTCCACATTAATTTAAGACATTATTTTAATAGGTCAATATAGCCTAATAAATGCCACTAACTTGTGCTCTAGGGCATAAGTTAAAAAATTACTCAATGAAAGTAGGGTGATGAGGTAACCTCTTTCCTTGAGCTGTCCACTTCCCTAGATATGTAGAAATGATCTCTTTTCTTTAAAATCTAGTTCATTTCTTGTGAGTAGAAGGATGGTTGAGAAATATTTTCACTCAAGTGTATGGTGTGGTATATACTTTTTATTGTGCTGAGTTGAATTTTAGTTCCTCATCTTCTCAGATTGGTTGAGATTTTGTCTGCTTTCTTCTTCCTTTATAAAACTACCTAGCATACTTGATGAGATTAGTAAACCTCTTTTTCTTTTCTCTTAAGCACTTTTAAATTAATGATTTCAAATTTAAATTTTAAAATGAGTTTAAAAATTTTTTAAATAAAAAAAATATTTTTATTATATAGTCTATTCATCATCAAAAATATCAAAAATAATAGACCCACAAGCTGGCACTTAATTTTAAGGTAATCAATAGCTAGGGTAGTGGTAAGCTTTAGTTGGTAGTTGGAGGAAATCAGTAACCTTCATATAATTTCTGTTTCTAGAAGTGATGGAGGCTATATGTATTTTTCGATGTCTCGGTAGCCGCCAGATGGTAGATAGGATAGCAATCCTCAGCTTTTGCACTCTTTTTTTTTCTTTTTTTTTTTGGGTACGTTTTGAATATATGGAGATTTGGTTATGGAGGTCTGACCTCCGAACTAAATTAAAATTTGACTTGAAAATGAACTAGTTTTAAAATGTATAAAATTGATTTAGAAATACATTAATTATTTAAATAAAAAAATTAAGAATTTTTTTATTTTATTAAACAATTTACAATTTAAGAGATTAGAAAAGAGATATTTCAAGGCGTTGATGGGGTTTGAAACCCCAATAAACCAATTCAAATATCTTAAGACTTGAGGACAAATCACTTGATTCTGAAATTTTAATTTATTAAGGACTCTTTATTTATTTTTTTTGATTAATTTAAATTTTTTTTTTTTTTCTTTAAAAAATTTATAAAATTTGAATACGTAATCTACAATAGATAAACGGATTTAATTTAAGATTCATGCCGCTGGATCCAAACGAAAAATTTATTAAGGGTTCTTCTCTTGAGCCAACTAGTATAATAAAAAAATACCATTTAATACATTTTTTAGGTTTGCAATCAAGCCGAAATTTGAGTCAATATATGGGGCCGCTGAATCAAAAGCTGCTCGTTAACCAGAAGTCGATATATAATACTTTTTTATGTTTGCAATGAAGCGGAATTCTGAGTCAACATGTGGGTGTTTTCAATTGAAAGCAGCTCATCAAAATGAACTCGAGATATTATACAACAACAACCTAACTTTTTCTTTGTCTTTTCTTAAAAATTGAAGCCTAATAACAAGGTAAGCAATATATGACTTCACCAATCAAATTAATTCCTCAAGTTAGGTTATCGATGTTAGTGAATGAAAATAAACGTATTGTTTTAAAACTTTGTTGTCGGGGTCCATATAAGCATAATAACTTTAAATTCCATCTCCCAACCACCATTTTAAGTTTTTGAACCCCTATACAATTCTTATTTTTAAAGGTTAGGTTAGATTTACAAACAAATTAATATTATTTTACAAGTTAAGTTTAAAGTTTAAATTTTAAAATAATATTAAAAAATTAATTTTTTTAAAAAATATCAAACCAATGTGAAGATTATATTGTTAAGATTACTTTAAAAAAAATTAATTTTATCTAACGATGTAAATAATTTAGTATTAATTTTTTTTGGTTAAAAATAAGAGATTCTGAATTCGAGTCATATGACATACATGTGAAGTGAGATAAATGACATACAGGTGAGTGAGATAAATGATAAACCCCATTGTATAACCAAGATAAAAAAAATTTTTAATATATAAAAATTGATCTAAAAATATTTTGACGACAAAAAAAAATCTTCACCTTAAAATTAGGAGTCACAGCCAGGATTCCTTAGAAAAGATAGAATTTTCTTCCAACAATTATTTATATATATACATTGTATATCAAGGAAGAAGAAATTGAATTGGATTGGGGTTTCGTGTGAAGTTGTTTCATTAATTTAAAGGTGCACCACCTCTTAAAGCTAAAATGGGCCAAATCTTTTGTCCACTTGGTTGGAGAGTGGAGGCCATAATTAAAGAAATAATGTAAACGTGAGAGTTAGGGGTTGGTTAGAAGTTTGAGCATTAATAAAGGCCGACGGAAATGGTTTGGTTTGTTGAAGGAAACTCCCATCAGAAACAAGGGGTCTAAATTTACTTTCGACACGCAATCTAAAAATACTTTTTAAAAATAACGATAATAATTTAAAATTTTAATTTTAGGAAAAAATATTGTTTGCAGGTTTTTTTTTAAAAAAAATATTTAAAAATTTATCTCTAATTAATATTTTTAAAAATTAATTTTATTTAGGTTAAAAGTTCTATTTATATAGCTAATGTATGTTAATTTTCATGAATAATAATAAATGAAATTAAAATTTGAAATCAAAATCTAGGATCAATGATATAATATAAATTATACTATTTAAAATATTAAAATGTGAACTTATATTATTGGTTAAATACCCTTTTTGGTCCCTCTATTATAGGAAAAAGTCACTTTTTGGTCCCTGTATCGAAAAAATCCATTTTTTTGTCTTTACTGTTCACAAATCCGACCCATTTTTAATCCTTCCATTAATTTTTGCTCACGTGGCACGTTAATGGGAGCAGCTAATGTGGATATGCCAACATGTAAAAGATGCTTATACAGACTTAATGATACCTTCCACGTCACCCTCTAGGTGCGGGAAAAAGAAAAAGAAAAGGTTAAATGCTAAATTTGATCCCTCAACTTTATAAGTTTGCATTTTTTTTATCCTTAGATTATTCTTTTCACTTTTTTGATTTTTTAACTCTAAAAATTACACAATTTTGATTCTTCTGTCAGTTAAACATGACATGACAATTAAATAATTCCATTTGACATTTTCTTTTAATTTTTTTTATGACATGACAGTTATATATATTATAATTATGTTATATAGATAAATAAAAATGTTACGCAGATAAATATTTATATTTTAATTTAAACATTACCCTTAACTCTCAACCCCTCTTCGTCCCCTTCTTTCTTTCTCTTTCTTTCTTTTCTACCCAGATCAGTTGGGTTCGTCGAAACCCAGCCTTGCTGGTTGCTCGAACCCAACTTTACTGCGTTCGTCAAAACTTAGTTACTGGTTTCATTAAAGCCACTGAGTTCATCAAGCCAGTAGATCTCATCAAATCAAATTAACCCTTCAATAAACAATATCATTCAAACTCTAATCCAATTCTAACAA